TAAGGAAACTCCAGATTAATTACAAAACTTGGTACCAAATCAAATAGTAAATTTACATAATTATTTCACTCGTCAGACTCATAATACTTCGGAAATACGTACAAGAACTAACCTCTACTCCGATTATTTCCTTCCTTCGTCTATTGAATTTTGGAATAACTTACCAGATCAGAAGAGAAATTCTACGTCTTTAAGTATTTTTAAAAGTCGTATAAAAAACCCAAATTATAAATGCCCAAATTTTTACTACACTGGTACAAGAATGGGTCAAATATTACATGCCAGCTTAAGGATGAATAGTAGTTCTTTAAATGAATATTTGTTCAGACGAAATCTAGTAGATTCTTCAAACTGCTCGTGTGGTCTAATCGAGTCTACAGCTCATTTTCTGTTGCATTGTAAAAAATTTGACGCATTGCGTAATGACATTATTTTCTCAATTAATGATCCAGTCATACTGAACACAAACCTACTTTTATTTGGATCACAAGCTCTAACTTTAGACAAAAACAAGGATATTTTTGAAAAAGTACAAAAATTCTTACTAAAGTGCAAGAGCTTTACAAGTTAAACTGTTATTCACTATTTTGACAAAGTTGCATTTCATCTGGACATGTGTGTAGTATTTAAGTGTATTTAATTTTTTCTTATTTCTTTTATACTTGTTTTATTTTATTTTTTCTTCTTTTGTTGTACTTTCATTAATTATTTTCAAATTATTTTTCCCCCTTCTTTCTTTGTTATGTAGTTACTCATTTATTCTTGTTTCATATTATTGTAACATTGCATGCTTTATTTATGTAATCGTTTATTCGAGTTGGTATTTCAAGGAAACGGACTAATATAAGTGATATACAGCTTGTTTCCGAATCCTGTTATTATTATGTATTTTTGTATGATGATATATTTGTAATGATGACGAATAAATATGTTTAAACTAAAAGTCGAAAACATATGTCATAAGCATTCGTTAATTTACTCGAAAGTTATGAGATCCCTCAATATAGGATGCTGCTTGGTAACACTTTCTCATTTTTTGAGAAATGGTAATCAAGTAATCAAAACTTCAATTTTTCTTTTAAATATTTTGTGGTATTCCTCAGAAATTTTAAATGTTTAATAGTTTAACCAATTCTGGTGAATAAAATACCATTCTAAAAGTAATACTTTTGGATATGATTAGTTAATATTACTGCTAGTTGCTTTATGCAATTTGCATGTATTCTTATTTTAAAAGAAGCAGTCCATTTTTTTTTGTTAAAATGTTTTTTGGACTGTTGTTTGTCTTTCGTCATTTGTCTTTTACAATGTTTTAGTCATTGTATTGTCTCATTTCTTCGTTTTCTGATGATTGAATGCCCCTTTGTATCTTTTCCCCGATTGCGTCTTTTATTGAAGTCGACCAATTAGTGCAAAAAATCAAAGCATGCTCCTTAAAAAGTAAAATAACAAAAATATCAAACTCCAAGGAAAATTCAAATCGGAAAGTCCCTTATCAAATGGCAAAATCAAAAGCTCAAACACATCAAACGAATGGAAAACAACTGTCATATATCTGACTTGGAACAGGCATTTCATTATTTAGAAAATGGTGGATTAAACCTTGTTTTATAGCTAACTAAACCTCTCACTTGTATGACAGTCACATAAAATTCCATTATATTGACAACAATGTGTGAACAAAACAAACAGACAAAATAGGTAAAAATGTCAAAAATAGGGATACAGCAGTCAACATTGTGTATAATCTTAATCACTATAAAAACAAACAAATATGTCAACAAAGAAAAACACAATGGCATATAGACAAAGCACATCAGCAAAAAAAAGGACAAGAATACAAAACATTACCTTAAGTAAGCGAGGAAAATGCTTCATTCCCCGATGAAATTTTGTATTGAACATTTCTGTAACGTTTGTTGGAAAAATAATGTCTTCCTGTGTCTGTATAGGGCATGCCACTAATTTCCACAATTCATGTTTTGCTTCTTTTTGTTCTTGTGAAAAAGTGGATTAATATTCTTATTTACAGTTGAAGCCTAAGAAGATGTGAGTTACCAGCCCTATTCCAACTAGGATTCATAAATTCATTCTAAGACTTGTGAAAAGATTCGCAACAATCTATTCATCGCGTGTTAATGAAGATTTTTTTTTCTAAATTTCTGATTTTACCAAAAAACAACCTATTGTTATTGTTATTAAAACAGTCTTTTTCAAAGTTTGGTAGCAACTGAATATTTACGGTATGCAGAATTTTTTCAACAAATCTTTTTAAAAGTTACAAGCCTTATATTTTCTGTGCGTTAAACTTCAGTTCTATATTCTGTTTTATACCTCTTTTAATTTTTTGACGCCAATTCAATTTTAGTTTCCACGAATAAATGTTTGCCGTCCGATATGTTACTAAGTTATCATCACACATCGAGAATATATACAAACACACTATCTTAAATGGAAAATATCATTAATTTCCTGTACCAGATTATGGAGAAAAACAATATATCGAGTAAATATGAAACATATTTCATCGGATGAGAATCAATCAAAGTAGAAATGAAGAATAAGTTGTAATATATATACAATCTATTTGAAGAAATGTATCAAGTCATATAATTGATATCGCCAAATACTAATATTCAGGCGACAACTATAACATATAAAAACTGTAAAATGCATTTATTGCGTAATCATTTAAATGGCACTCAGGCAAGTGATTTAAAAAAGTAAAATGTTTACATAAAGAATAGAGAAACATTATGATTGAATGATGCTAGATCTGAAGCGAGTTTAATCATTAGATTTTAACACAAGAAACCGTGGGTATCATTTAAAGTATGCACATGGATGTCGATGTCCAAATTGTCTTCACTTATTAAAACCGACAAAGACATTATAAAGTCTTTATGATACCTCTCCTTTACCTAAATGAAAATCCACAATAACATATTAACAGTCATCTACATTATAACACAGTTACTGTTGTACTCTGCATACCCGGTATTGTAAAACACTGATTTTAGTTGTCTGTGTTTTTGTCTAGTAATACATATTTATACAATGTATAATGGAGATGCAATCTTTTTATTTGAATCATGTAATTTTTATTGTGAATATGTCAGTGTATCTTTCATTTCAAAATATTTCAAAATAAATTCAAGGATAAAAATAATACAGAAACCATTTAATGTTGGTATCATTCCAGTTGACTTGAATCAAAACATATTTTAGAGATTCAGTGTATGAGTTTTGTCAAATAATTCAAAGTCCACAAAATGTCTATTTTGGAGAACCTGTGTTTTTGTGTATACTGTACATCTGTGAATACTTGGATTCAAGTCACACTTGTAAATTTATTGAGTCATACCAACGTTCAAGTACAAGAAATGTGAAACGGAATGTAGCGTCATACCCAAGTCCAAGTACAAGAAACGTGAAACGAAATGTAGTGTCATACCCACGTTCAAGTACAAAAAATGAGAAACTAAATGTAGCGTCTACCCACGTTCAAGTACAAGAAATGTGAAACGGAATGTAGCATGATCAATAAATATTCAATATTTCCTGCTCCTTCAATGACAAATAGTTTGCTTTACAACATGAAGTATTTCCCACCATTTAATGCTTCATGTTTTTATAAAGCTGAACCAGACCGCTCTATACAAATCATTGCAGGTAAATTGATTCATAATTTGTCTTTCGTGGTTGTCATTGGGTATTTTTTCGGTGGCATTTTTCGGTGTTTATTTGTTATATTATCTATACATATTCAAATATCCGAACGTCCTACATACCGAAGGAAGTTTCAGTGGGAAATCTAGTGACAAAATATTACCGCCCCTGAAAACACAGAAATCTTAATCTTTTCAATGTTTGTCTCGTTTTAGTAAGGACGTTATTAATTATAAATTCACATGGAAACGTTCTAGTAAATAGTAACAATAAAATTAGATTGTTATAAAAACAAAATGTTTTCTATAATGTTATCATTTTCCTTCCAAATTAGCAAAACGACGAGTACAGCAGACTTTAGGAGCTTTGTGTAAAATGGGTTTAAAATGTTGCTATGCGAATAAATTCTTGGAGTACCAACTTCAATTTATTTTGTTACTGGCTGTTTACCTCTCTGGAACACTTATCCTTATATTATGCAGCTAGATCAGAGACGTTTAGAGGAAAAAATCAAACAGAATCGATTGATATACAGCAAAGATTAAAACTTTTGAAATTAATTTACTAAACAAATTCAAACGGACCATTCTCAATTTTACTTATCCCTATGTAAACATTGAATGTGAATAGATCGAGAAGACTGCAAAAACTTGTATAGAAATTGAGACGACCTTTTCTTAAAATTGTACAAAAAAATAGTAAAAATCTTTTTACAGAGAACCTACTTTATACAAATATTTATCTTTGATTTTTTAACCCGCACAGACATGACGTTTCAATTGTTATATTCCCGACATGCCCATAAATCCATATTTCAAGGAACCACCTGCATTTTTGCTTTCCATGGGGGCAATACAATCTGTTTCCTGTCTCGCTCTTTGCATTCCTGTTTATTGTTTAATTCTAAATCTTCATTTCGAAGATAGAAGTGAATAGGCTCCTCAAAGATATGTCGACTAATTCAGACCATTATCTTCCAAGAAATCATTATTTGAAAGATGGTAGCGTTACTGGGACCCAGGGAGATCAAACGAAGTTTATTATGTGAACGATTCTATGGTTGAGTTCTAATTTAAGCACTAGGCAAACATCTTTTTAAGCGGCACCTGCATATGGAGTATGTATCTATTAATTGATACCATATTCAAAAGTTCGCAATTCATATAAAAATTTCTCAGATAGAGGATTGTTCCTTTCGATGATGCTGCTTCATCGAGAGTTTTTTTTTATGGTAAATAAACGTCATTTTTTTTCATTTATGACGTCGCCAAATTCGACTTATCATCAAATTCTGACTTTCAATAATGTATTGAATGTTATTTTTTTGAAAAATGTACATGAAAGCAGAGGAGAGGTGGACGATACCAAAGTAAGTATCTTTCACAGTTTGCAAGAAGCTCAGAAACGTTTCTTGTTAAAATGCGATGACATTTATTTTGTATACATTTTCAAAAACAAAGCATTCAATTCATATATTTACAGATTTTCGGAATAAAAAATATATGTTACGATATTTTTTTTAATTTTATAGTAAAACTTTAAAATCAAAACTTCAGCAGAAATTTTCAAGGACGATGAAAGTATTATCATTCCATGTGCAATCCATTATACGTCCGACGGATGAAATTGGTACAATGAAGATGTTTAAATATATAGCTCGTAAAATATTTCGTATAAAATTTTGAAATGATCATTATCATACATGTTTTCATATGTTTATAATTTATTGTTATGTATTGATATCAATTCTCCATATTTACAAGATATATTTATCAAAAGCATAATCGTTTCCACGAACTACACGAAAAATGCGAAAAAATAGTGTTGATTAATAAATTGGGGGGAGCTAATAATTCTATAATCTTTGATTGCTTTCATGTAACATACGGCATGTGTTCTTTTCATATAAAATGAAATCATATGACGGAATGAAATAATTTGTGTAGATCAACCTTTGTAGGAATTGAACACCTACTGTAAATATTGAGCAATACGAATGTTACACTATTTAAAAATAACTTATTTCTTTTCAGGAATAGCAGAGTTCCCGAACACTTTTTACAATTTCGGTTCGTTTTTTTTAATAACGTAACTGTAGAAGGTAACCATTACTTTGGACCGAATTTGTAATTTCGTAATGTATTTGCATCCAAGCATTCAATTTTGCTCATATAAATATTTATATATCTGTTTAAATTAACGAACAACATCATCTTTAATATTAAGAAAAAGGAATGCCCATAAATCCACATTTCGTGGATCCACCTGCATTTTTGCTTTCCATGGGCGCAATACCATCTGTTTCCTGTCGCACTCTTTGCATTCCTGTTTATCGTTTAATTCTAAATCTTCATTTCGAAGATAGAAGTGAATAGGCTCCTCAAAGATATGTCGACTAATTCAGACCATTATCTTCCAAGAAGTCATTATTTGAAAGATAGTAGCGTTGCTGGGACCCAGGGAGATCAAACGAAGTTTATTATGTGAACGATTCTATGGTTGAGTTCTAATTTAAGCACTAGGCTAACATCTTTTTAAAACGGCACCTGCATATGGAGTATGTATCTATTAATTGATACCATATTCAAAAGTTTGCAATTCATATAAAAATTTCTCAGATAGAGGATAGTTCCTTTCGATGATGCTGCTTCATCGAGAGTTTTTTTATGGTAAATAAACGTCATCTTTAAAATTCAGAAAAAGGAAGTATCTGTTTAATCTTTTTGTCTATTTAGGAATCCAGGTGTTCGATGAAATACGATAGTAATGCATATCATTTATAAACGAAAGTTACTTAAAAAAACTTATAAGCCGAAGTTTTCCCCATTTGTTAAAAGATAGAAATGCCGCAAAATTGCTGTTTATTTTGAAAATTTTAGTATTTGCTGGTATTGAATTGTCATTTTATTTCGTGTATATTGTCCTCCCCTCCCCCCCCCCAAAAAAAAAAAACGTAAAAAATTATTCACAAGCGTTTTATCAATATGTATTAAACTATTGTTTTTACATACCGTATATTTAACTTAAAGTTCTTGTTGTTTTTCCACCGCCAAATATATTAGGAAACAATTAATAAAATCCGATTTCAAGGTTGCATATTTTAACCGTTACAAATGTTTTTATGTCAATATTTTAATATTTTAGCTAATATACCTATTTTGGTCTGAATTGTTCTTCCAAGTTACTCCTTCACAAGCACATACAGAATATTGCGATACATAAAATAATTTAATTTATTTATAGTGGTAGATAAGACAAAAGTCTTCTGACCAAATTTGATAAAACATTATTTTTGTCTTTATCTATCAAAATACCTCGGTTGCTGATTTAATGGGAAAAATATCGCATGCATCGAATTAAAAAAAAAATAAACAAATATGTCTCAAGCATTAGTTGATATACCTGACAGTTACAAGATGTCTCTGGATAGATTCTACTTTGTAACACTTTATTTGGTTCAGCGATCGTTGTCGTCATGAAGTCTTCGGCGTGGGATTTTCACGCCGTGTTGAAGACCCATTGGTGGCCTTTGCCTGTTTTCTGCTCTTTGGTCGGGTTGTTGTCTCTTTGACACATTATTCGTTTCCATTCTTATTTTATTCTATAGTTCTGTATTTTTTTGTTTTTTCCAAAACCTTGCTTCGGAAGTTGGTATTGAAATATACCCATTTGTGAAAAAAAACCAAAGCATACTACTTAAGAAGGAGAAAAAAAGGGATCATTTTCCGAAGCAATTTTGTATTTGAACATTATATTTTGTTCAGTTGGTTTGAAAAATATTGTCTTCCAGCGTCACTGTAGGGAATGTCACAAATTTACTCAAATAATGATATTCTTCATGTTGTTCTTCTCCAAAAAGTGGATCATATTGAAAAATATATAATGACGCGACAACAATATTACCACGCCCGTTCCTTTTAAATCAGTTGCACACTTAAATATCGTGTATATAACGTGTACAATTATACATTGAAAGCATGGATATAGCTAAACGGACTAAAAAAACGAAAGATGAAACAGCCTACCATGCATTTTATGCATAACACTGAATCGGTAATAAAAATAATAAATCGTATCAACTGGAATAACCTTTACTTATTAAAGAATTTCAAACGGAACATTCAGGACAAAACTACGCTTTGTGCGAGCGAACACGAAATAAAAACTAACGAGTATGGTTAATGTTCTTATTTACAGTGGAAGACAATGTATATATGAGTTACCAAACCGATTCCAACTAGGATCCAAATATTTATTCTAAGATTTCTGTAAAGATTCGCAACAATCTATTCACTGCGTGTTTGAGAATTTTGTTTTTCTAAATTTCTGATTTTACCCAAAAACTATTGTTATTAAAACAGTCAAATCTTCAAAGTTTGGTAGCAACTGAATGCAATATGTAGCGTCTTTGGTTGAGTTTTTAACAAATCTTTTTACAAATTATAAGCCTCATATTTCATGTACTTTCAACTTCAGTTCTATATTTTGTTTTAATACGTTATTTGCTTTTGACCATTATTCAATTTTTAAAGTTCACGAATAAATGTTTTTCCTTCAGATGTGTTACTAAGTTATCATCACAAATCTAGAATAGTTATAAATACGCTATCTTAAATGGAAAACATTATTAATTTCCTGTTCCAGATTATGGAGAAAAAACATTATACCGAGTAAATATGAAACATAAAGTATATTATCGGATGAGATTACTATCAATCAAAGTAGAAATGAAGTTTAAGTTGTTATATATATACAATCTATTTGAAGAAATGTATCAAGCCCTTTAATTGATATCGCCACATACCAATTTTCGGTAGACAATTAACATAAAAACTCTAAAATGCATTAATTACCTAATCATTTAAAACACTGATTTTAGTTGTCTGTGTTTTGGTCTAGTAATAAATATTTATACAATGTATAATGGAGATGCAATCTTTTTATCTATTTGATTCGTGTAATTTTCATTGTGAATATGTCAATGTATCTTTCATTTCAAAATATTTAAAAAAAAAAGAATGTGTCCATAGTACACGGATGCCCCACTCGCACTATCATTTTCTATTTTCAGTGGACCGTGAAATTGGGGGTCAAAACTCTAATTTGGCATTAACATTAGAAAGATCATATCATAGGGAACATGTGTACTAAGTTTCAAGTTGATTGGACTTCAATTCATCAAAAACTACTTTGACCAAAAACTTTACCCAAAAACTTTAACCCGAAGCGGGGCAGACGGACAGACGAACGAACGGACGCACAGACCGAAAAACATAATGCCACTAGGTGGGGCATAAAAATTCAAGGATAGAAATAATGTTCATGCGATTGTCTTTTCGTGTTTATACTTTTATACAGAAACTATTTAATCGTTGTATCATTCCAGTTGAATTGAATCAAAACATATTTTTGAGATTGTCAAATAACTCAAGGTTAGAGAACCTGTGTTATTTGCGTGTACTTGAACTTGGGTACGACTCAATATATTTACAAGAGTGACTAGAATCCCAGTATGTACATCTGGTTTATGTGAATACCGAGATTCAAATCACTCTTGTAAATATATTGAGTCGTACCCATGTTCAAGTACTAGATATGTGAAACGGAATGTAGTGTCATACCCACGTTCAAGTACAAAAAATGAGATAAGAAATGTAGCGTCTACGAAAGTTCAAATACAAGAAATGAAAAACGAAATGTAGCATCGACCGAAGTTCAAGTACAAGAATGAGAAACGGATTGTAGCATCTACCCAAGTTCAAGTACAAGAAATGAGAAACCAAATGTAGCATGATCAATAAAAACAATAGCATATCAACTACCCCGTCGATGATAAATAGTTTTACAACATGAAATATATTTCCCACCAGTAATTGCTCCATGTTTTTATAATGCTGAACTAAAGTGCTGTATACAAATCCTTGCAGGTATGTTGACGCATCATTTGTCTTTCCTGGTTGTGTATAAGGTTTTGTTTTCGGTGGTATTTTTTCGGTGAATATTTGTTATGTTATCTATACAATTTAAACGTTTAACTTCCTACATACCGAAGGAAGTTTAATGAAGTGAACCATAAAAGAAGTCATTGAATAAACAAACAGATGTTTAAAAGGAAGAAAATCAAATTCCAAATTTATTATGTCCTGCATCTGATTAGATAGCTACCTAAATGGGAAATACCTTAACCTTTTAGAATTAGTTAAATGACAGATTTGAAATAGTCGGTCAAGTAAAATTGTATCTTAATGTCCTTTCAGAATTTACATTTCATACTAACTGCCTCAGGCAAAGCTGACTTTACAAGAATTTGGCTATTTTTAGGTACCATTTGGTAATAAAGCCCTTACCGTTTCCACGTATCTATACATC